ACAGTAAACACAGGTGGCCAGCCTGACCTACATCAGCGTTTCTGGTGCGCCTAACATTTTTTAGCATAGTAGTTTCTATGGTGAGGTGCAGGAAAAGCAGTAATTCTTCAGCAGTAACAACAGCAAGCAAGATGTGCAGGGACAGGTGCTGTGCTATCATACCAAAGGATAAGAGGCTGCATTCAAACCTATTCCCTACGCTGAGCCTGTCAAAACAGAGAAACTCCTTGCACAAGGGCATGTTTTTCTTCAGTGAAATGCAATGTTTCTAAGAAGATCCCGATCTACACTCCCTTCTGCCCTTTGTTTTACATGCTTGGATGACCAGATTTTTAGAACGAGGTCAACCAAATTCCAGAGCAGTTTATCAGTCACTTAACAAGCTGTAATACCTTGACTGCATACCAAGGTCAAATATTTCTGCAGTGCTGCTTTTATAAGGCTTTGTCAACATCTTAAATAAGATAACATTCTTATCTCTGTATCCAAGATATTTTGAAACTTCATCCCATCTATTACACCTCGCATGTATTTTGAATAGATCACATTTAGAAACAGTCTGCATACCTCCCATCAAGATGTTTTCCATCCTTCTTTTTTTACCACTATATTATCTTTTAATTTTCTCTTTGGCACCTCTAGCATAAATGAAATTACAAAACAGGAACCATCCCAGAATTCTGCACTAATGTTTAAGGATGCTATAATCAGCTTCATGAAAAAGGTAGGCTGCAAGACTCATTAATCCAGGCTACTTGCTTTTACCATGTTTAGTCATACAATTGGCACAGACTGAGTTTTGTTCTGCCTCTTAAAAAAAAAAATCTAAAAATGTTTCAATTGATCTTCCTTCCTCTAGTCTGAGCGAGCTGATATTTATATTTTCCGTAACATAAAAGACAAAAGCTGCACTGCCCTGCACATGAATGGCTCTTGGGCCCCGCCTGATGCACTATTCTTAGCAGTTGATGTAAGTAATCCCACATGTGGCAAAATCCACCTGCAGGTTTCAGAGAATGTGCATCTTCTGCTGACTGCCTGCAGATGTTGTTTTGGAAAGCTGATCACTGAAACAATGGAAGGCACAGGAAAAGGGTGCTCTGGTACAGGTATGTGACACTTCATTTCATTTACTGGTCTGTCCAGGAAATAGGTATCTTTCCTATTTCTTGGCTAGATGTTACAAATGGCTGCATAAAGATATGGTTTTACCTAGGAAGCATCACATGAGCTATATTAGAGCTTTACTTCATCTTACCTCAGCTTCTGGAACTGTTTTATTGAATCAGTTAATGCAATTTCCTATCACATCTTTAGGTCATAGGTCTTAAACTTAGGCCTTGAAATTCTCCTCACACAACCAGAGGATAGTCAAGAATAGCAAGGTTGGTAAGGAAGACTCATACATTTCATTAGCATCTAATGGAGGGGAAAAGGGAAGAGGGACAACACTTTTGGTCTGACATCACAAACCTTTCTTGAGGCTGAACAGAGAAGCATCAAGATTGATCAACTAATCTGAAACTAACTTTCAGTTGTCAAGGCTGCAAGACCATTGCTCCTGTGGTACAGTAAACAGCCAAATGCCTACATAGATGCTCATCTGGTGCTTTAAAGCATAAAACCTGGTAGATGCAACAAGACAGATTGTGCTGCTGTGTTTGTCATGGCTTGCCTGCATAGCCTCACGGAGTTCAGCACAGGGCAAAAAGTATTGTAGCTGCTTCTTTCTGCTACAACCTAAATAGTTAATCCATATGACCAGGTTCAACAGGCACTTGCAGAAATTTCATCCTTCCTGAACTACAATGAATCTTCTTCTGTCAACAGCAATCTGTTCTTTTCCCTGGTCAACACAAGCTCACTTTACCAGCATGGATCAGCCACAGCCTGGCAATACGCTGAGGCATGACTGCAGTTACTGTGATTCTCCAAAAGGTTTGGTGCTGTTTACAACAGTTTTTGGCTTTCCTAAGTCAGGTCTGTCTCAACTAGCTTCCTTCTTCTGACAGTACAACACAGCATCAGTGAAATGACAGCACAACAATTCCTTACTGTTTAAAATATACTTCCATTGTGGATTAATACTCTGTCCATGAAATCCACAGTTACTGCTGAAAGACTAGTCACCTATGCACTACAAAACAGTGAAGTCTTCCAGTGCAGAGCAGCAACAGCCCACATACATAACCTCTGCCACCATGCATTAGAAAGTTGCTACTGAACAGCAGCTGCTGTTTCACATCACATACTGATTGCAAAAGGGTCAGGAAGGGTCATAAACCCCCTGATATATTAAAGCACACTTGTTTCTCAATCAAACTGAAGCACAGTAATGCAAGGAGTAGAACATACTGCACTTAACAAGCAACTTTACAGCTCTTGGGAGGTTTGTGTCTCAGAAAAGGTAGGATCTTATGTCACTGCAGATCTAAGTGTCCTCATGTAGAAGGACATGTTAGGGGGCACAGACACTAGCAGCCCATCTAGCCTTTCTTCAGCTTTTCAGAACAGAATGAAACCTAGTAGCAATAGCAAAGGAAATGCACCAAAAAATCAAAATCACTTGGAATAACAGAAAGCCAGCATTGTCCTACAAAACACATTGAAAGTATGATGGTGTCTTAAAGAATTTATATTATATGTGAAAAGATTTTAAACCAAAATTATTTCACTATTGTCATTTCAGTAGGAGAACCATGTATTCTTTACAATTTACAAAGTCAGTACCAAATACTGTTTAAAACTCCTGACATATTTGTACACTATCCTACCCTTAAAGTGATCTATCAATGCATCACCTTTAGCTACCCTCTTGGCCAGCAGCCAGTTAGTAAAAGTAGTGACCTTAGATCACCTTTGTTCCAGAAGGCTATAAAATCACACTCATCATAGTTTTCCCTGTACTCCACTGTTATGTGATGAATATTTCTATTGAGTTTAATGCTACATTACTCAACACAAATACAGTAGCTGTGCCAGCCACTCTCACCCCATTAGAGTTATCCACATTCTGAAGTCTCTCAGTTTCTGCAGAGCAGAAGCAAACACTGCTACACACAGATGTGACTATGCATACACATAAAAGGTGTAACATTAAACACCGCCTGGGCAAGTGTTTCATATTAATCTCAAAAATAAAGACTGTCAAAACCACATCACTTTGCTTTTGCTGTACTTACTACTGTCTTGTGACAGCAAGCTACTGCACTGTCTATCCAGTGCTGAGGCTGCCAATGAAGCACACGTGTCAAGACTTGCCTTACTGAAGCATAAAACATCTCCTTTGCTGAGTCCCTCCTTTGCCTGTGGTTTGTGCCTCTGTGTACACACACACGTGCTCACTCTCTCTCTCTCCTCCTCTGTCCTATCTTCTCCCTAGAGCATCATACCATTAACAGGAACATGCTGTGCAGAACTGAGCTTCAGTTTGAGCACCAAGAAAATCCACTTCCCACTGCTAAATCAATGCCAGATAGTCCTTGCAATGAGAACAGCTGATCCAAAACAGTGTTGAGAGGAGGTGTAAAATGACTGGAGGAGTAAGCCAAGCTTAGTAAAGCATCCGTATGCTGCTCAAAGTGAGAGGACTGAAGTGAAAGTCAACCCTGGTAAGACTGGAAAAGACAGCTCCACATACAGCGTGCAGCCTCTAACTGTGTGAATCCACAGTGTTAGAAGCAGCACCACATTTCCATATATGCGCCCTCCTGCTGTTGTAGTGACAAGTCCTGAACCTACTGATTCTAAGAGGCTGACCAAGCTGAATTGGCCCCCACGGATTTAAGAATGGTTAAGACATTCGTCTGAGAAGCCTCAGTTGTGACATATGCTGCAACACTGAGGGGATTTTAAATACCGCTGGGATGGGAAGCTAGAGGGAAGAGCAGGGATGGTAAGGTATCCAGACAGAGAAGTTGTGTCATTAGGTTGCACTGGTCTTGCTTCATGGATTTGGACCATGGGCGAACAGGACCCTTCTACCCTCCAGTGGCAGCCTCGCCAGCCAGCGCCGGGCTGGGCTGCTCACTCGGACCACGCTCACCCAGCGCTCCGGACTGGACAGCCCTGGCACAGCCCTTGTGCAGGCTGAGCACGAGTGTGGCTTCCAGTCGTTCACCTAATGGCCCTGGGTCCTCCTCCTCCAGATGCCTTTCCCAGCTGTGCCGGTAGCTGGCATCCAGCCGCGGATAGTGGGTGGGTGGGAGCGCAGAGCCGGACACCCCCCACCAAAATCTCACGGCGGCCCTGCGTCCTTACCGTCTCCGGGTCATTCTCAAACACCTCCCGGGCCTCCTCCTTGCTGCAGTGCTCCTCCACGCACTCCCTCTCCAGGTGCCCTTGCTTGGTCTCCTCGAAGATCTGGTAGGCTCGGCGCTGCCTCTGCCGCAGGAACTGGGCAGCTTCCGGGGCGCGCAGCAGCAGGGCTGGGCAGGACGAGGAGGAGGAGAGGAGCAGGAGCAAGGACAGGCAGCCGTGAACAGCTGAGCCCCTACCCCCACCCCGCACGCTTACCGCCCCTCCGGGGGGCACCGAGCGCTCTCCCAGCTCAGGGCGCCGCCCGTGGGTCGCCGCGGCCTCAGCGCGGCCCCTCACCCGCATCCCCTGACCCCGCCGCCGCCCTCACCGCAGCCGCGAAGCTGCGCATCCCCCCGCACCGCACCCCGCCCCGGCAGCACAGCCCGCACTCGCACACACGCAGGGCGGCGGAGGATGCTCGGCGGCGTGTGCGGGAGGGACGAGCCCCCGCGGTACTCACTCTGCGAGGAGTCCGCCGCCAGCAGGACGAGCAGCAGGGCGGCCCCGAGGGGCGCCGCGGGATGCGGCATCACGATGCGGCGGCGGCCGGGGCCGGGGCCGGGGCCGGGCGGGCGCTGGGGCGCGGCGGGAGCGGAGCGGGAGCGGCGCGGGCGGCGAGCGCGCTGCGACGGCGGGAGCGCGGCGAGGGAACCGCGGAGCCGCTCGCCCGCCCTGCCCAATCCTCACCAGGCACCGCCGAGCCGCCGCTCAGGGACACACCTCGCGGCGGAGCTGCCGCCCGGAGCGGCCCCGGTACCTGCCCGGCCGCCCGGGAGCGGCCGTGCCGAGCGGCGGGGGCGGGCACGGGGAGCCGCGCCGATGGGCGGCCGGCAGGGCGCGGGGAGACTGCGCCCTCACCTCCCGGCACATCGCTTTAATAGCTCCGGGGCTCATCAGTTGGAAGGCAGGAGCTGGCACCAAACCCAACTCAGTCCTGCCATAAATTAGAAACTTGGGTTCTCCCCACGCACCAACAAAGGTTTTCGTCAGAAATGCATTTTCAATTTGTTCTAGTACTTTAGGATGAACTCCCCAGAAAAGAGATTGTCTTTTTGTTACCAATATGTTGCAAGCCATGCTTTACTGTCCCTCGTCTATCCGTCCATCCGTAGTTCCGCGGGACACTTCCACTGTTAGCTGTAACCTAGAGCTGTGGGGTCAGAGCTCAGAGGTGCTTTTAGGCTATCTACTGCCACTGCTTTAAAGCCACCCTTATCTGTACTGCTCTGTCCAAGTGTGACAAATAGCTCCACTAACACCATGTTTATACATTTTTCAAGAAAACTTCAGTGGCATCATTTGTTTCGGAAAAAGAACTCATCTAGTTTTATTTTGTTATTTAGGTATATCTAAGGCAGACTTGGTGTCTCCACAATAATTTCTGCAAATATAACTAATGTAAACAATGTATTCATATCACATAGAGTTGAAGTAAAGTAGGTGAAAACAGAAGAGCCAGCCTCATTCAAAGCAACTGTCCCTAGGCTGGTATCTTCTTCTGACAATGGCCAATAGTAGAGATACATGTAAGAGGTATAAAAACATATAAACCACCATTATGTGGCCTTTTCTTTCCGTTTTCAGCTCCTGGGTGCACAGGAAAAGCTCTCAGGTGAAATCTGTATCCACTGCAACCCTAACAGCCGCAAATGTACCACTTCTCTATGTTAAATAGCTTTTTGAGCTGTTGGTACACCTGGCCTCCAGGAGTGGTGGGAAGGTCTCAAATTTGCACAAAGACTAGACAGGAATTTTTTTCTCACTAGTTTTAAAACCAGTGCTTAATAATTTTACAGGGTACTTGAATTTTTGTCATCTAAGAAATAGTGAATGATCATGCCCTATTTATTTATACCATACCAGTTTATAGACCTCATATTATTTCATCCTTTTTCCTGAACTATGGAGCTTTGGTCTTTTACTTGTTTCCAAACCCCTTTGAGCTAGCATTGCTCAAAGGAGCACTCCTTCCAGTCCCTGTTGCTTTTTTCTGTCCTTTGGCCACATGCATTTCTTGTGCTAGCATGCTGCAAACTCTATCAGAATAATCCAACAAAAATGATTAATTTTGTTTCAGATAGCTCCCCCACTGAGCTGCTGAACAGCTGCACAAACACCAAAAGGGAGAGGCTTTCAGGGGTGACAGCGACTAGCTGCAGGCAAAGAAGCTTGGGCCTAAGCAAAACTGGTCAAAACGGTTTGTGAAGCTACAGCTGAAGGCAGAGGTTTCCTAGGACTGGCTGCCACTTTTCTCCCTCTGTCATGTATCTCCCTGTCTACATCCACAGATGTGGCTGTGCCCTTTCAGCTCAGTCACCTGGCAGGAAACTCCTCCTTTTTTTAGTGTGTGTGTCTTCTACCAGGTTACTGTGTGAACCAGATCAGTGACAGCATGAAGAAGTGTGGAGTGGGATTGCAGCAGTAAATCCATAGTCTGCTCTGAGATTGCAGCCTGAGCCCCTCAAACAGAAGCCATTCCCCACCTTTTCATCCTGCCCTGTATGTTTTCTATTTATACTTCTTTTCAGACAAGGTTGACAAAACTACATACAATATTCAAGATATATTATAGCAACAGTGTCCTGCTTCTTTCTAGCTTCTGTTTTTTTCTTACTATTTTCAAACATTGCATAGGTCACTTCTTGACCTGTTCTCTCCAAAGAGCCATGAACAAGATGTCTGAGATCTCTTTCCTGAGTGGAAAACACTTTCCAGAATGCTGATTTACCAGTGAATACAGAAGGTGAGGGCTGTGTGTCGCTTTCTGTGTCTGCATATTAAATTTCACTTGTCATTTATTACCCTGTCACATGAAGAGAGTTATCAAGTGATACAGCCAAGCCAACTGAACAGCTTTTTGCTGCCAAAACAGGTTGTCCCACTCTGCCTGCCCTCTATGCTTCCATGTTATCCCCAGATGTGCAATCTTTGTACACTTTTGTCACTGATGTGACCTCTCAGCAAGTCAATTCAACTCATTAAGCCAAAATAAAGTTGATTTTTTTTGCTAAAAATCTTCTGATAATCTGGATTACCAGTTTAAAATTTGTCTGTTCAGATGAATGTTGTATTATCTGCCAACTGACCTCATGGCATTAAGCTTCTCCATAAAATTTCTGAAGATGTTGAACAGCAGAGATTTTTGTGGGTTCTGGAAACTGCATTATATTGTGTAATATAATGATGAGTTTTCTTTCTTTCAGATTTTTTTGTATCCTTTTCTGTTTATCTTATATGATCACATTTTGAGAGCATATGGTAAAAGACCAGCTCAAAATTTTTTTAAAACCCAAGTATCTAATATTATTAGAACCATCCTTATCTAAATAAATATCATTCCTTGAATCTCAAATGGATTTGCAAAACAAGACATCCTTCTTGGTATGCAATGCTGATTCTTCTCCAACATATCATTCATTTCACCAGTTCTACTCTTTATTATGTTTTCCAGTAAGTTACTTGGCACAGACATCAAACACTGATTCTAGTGAGCTCTGAAGTCTCAATAGTTGTATTTTTCACCTTCCATTCTTCTGGCATGGTAGCATTTAAGGCAGATTTAAGCAATGAGTTGAATGAAGTAACAGTTTAATTTTCTTCAGAATTCATGGATTTTTTTTTTTTTTTTTTTTTTTCCTATCTGGTCTCAGCTGTCCCAGTAATGTCTTAGGGAACATGAAAAACGGGATAGAAAAATAATGCTGAAAATATTAAAACAATATTATATTAACTGCTTGTACTCTCAGCATGTCCCATTTTAGACTCTCTTTTGATTTTAGAGTAATCTAGACACAGATGTTCCCAAATACAAATCTGATCATGTAGGATTAGTTTCCATTGGTTTTTAGACACTAACCAGAAATATGCACCAAATTTAACAAGTTTTGAGAGAAATGACTAAAAATACAGCCAGAAGGTGTTCATTAAGGATCAAAAAATCTAAGAGTGATTCATCAGTTCACATACCTTGAGACACTTACTCCAAATTCCAACGAATGTCCTTTGGTTTCTCTTCCTTAATGAATCCCAAAAGAAACCAGTGCGTAGTGTGTAGACAGGCTGCAGGGGTGTAGCAGAAGGTTTAACTGAGCAAAGTTCATTTGGGTTCCTGCCATTAATTACACTTGTAGTCACCAAACTGCAGAATGAAACTAAAATGTCCTGAGAAGCGTAAATAGGCCTCACAACTTTAGAGCTGAAGAAGCAGGGCAAGTAAGCAGGTGAAGGGTATGGAGCACAAGTCTTGTGAGGAGAGGCTGAGGGGGCTGGGGTTGTTTAACCTGGACTAAAGGAGGCTCAGGGACCACCTACAACCACAACTACCTGAAAGGAGGTTGTAGTGAGGTGGAGGTCAGTTTCTTCTCACAGCTAACAAGACACAGAACAAGAAGAAATGGCCTCAAGTTGTGCCAGGGGAAATTTAAATTGGATATTGAGAAAAATTTCTTCACTGGAAGAATAGTTGGGCATTGGCACAGAAACAGCAGAATCATCACCCTTGTAAGTGTTCAAAAATGTGTGTGTGTGGCACTTGGGGACATAATTCAGTGGTGGACCTGAAAGTGATGGGATACAAGTTGCATTTGATGATCTTAGAGTTTTTTCCCAACCTAAACAATTCTATTATTCTATATATTCATTGTGGACAAGAGGAAGGGATTCCCAAGCCTGCCCTTCCTTCCTTCTATCTGTCCTCTAGCCAGGGACACTATGAGGTGAATGTTCTTGACTTCTGAAGGACCCTCTCTTCTGTGTAAGGTACTTTTCTGACCTCAAGGAAAAATTGGTTAGACATGTCCTATGAGTTGTCCCACACTGCCAAAGTATCTCAGATTTTAGAGCAAGCGACTGTTTCACATGCTCACTCCACATTCATTTCCCATTATTTTTCCTTTGAAAGTATTCCTAAGGTGTCATTCCTACTTTTGCTTGTATGTTATGAGTAGAAGGATATGAGATTACATCAGAATATTTAAGAAATTAAATGATTGTGGAAGGCAGCATACTTAATCAGAAAATCCCTCTGAGAGCAAGAGAGCTGATTCCATGATCCTTGACTTGAATGCAGTATAGGCTGGCCATATGCCAAATATACTCAGCACATTAAGATCTGGAACTTGCTACTTAGTTGTCAACTATGATTCACCGATTGATGCCAGGAAATAAACTGGAAGTTTCAAAGACAAGGAAGTTCTGAACTGTCATCTTGTTCTCTCTGTGCCTGTCTTGGTTCCAGGTGAATGAGATTTCCTTTCATTAGAGGCTAAAATGGAGGATGAAAATGGCTTTAGGCACTAGCAAAGCCAAATTGCTCATCTGGACAGTGGCACTCCCTCTGCAGCAAGCAAGAACAACGAGCAAACTCCTGGGCAGAACAGGCCACTGCCATCCATGGCTGAACTCTCAGACTAAAAAGCACCGACCAACAGCACAGACCTCCAGCCAGAGCCTACAGGACATCATGGCTCCTGGTTTGTTTTATACCTCTGCAGGACATCAAAGGGTTGAGGTGGGGATATTTTCTGTGCAACCTGAGTCAGCACTAAGCACCTTGAGGCAGGGAGCCCAATGGGGCTGTTGCACTTATGACAAGATGTTATGGAGAAGATCTTCAATAACTGACTCTGCTTTTTACTTCTTACTCCCTTTCAAAAAATATCTTTTCTTTTTCCATTTTTGAAATGACCTCTGTATGTCTGGGTTACAAGCATTAGATTGTGGACTTAACTACATTGTGGAGGAAGTCCAGTTCCTTTTATCTTGCTCCTGCTTTCACAGGTCTGTTATCCAATTGAGGATATTAAATTCAGTTCTAATAGATTTCTTGCTTGATGATTAAGCACCTGTTGTACCATCACTAAATGTCTCTCTAGTGTCTTCTTATGTCGTCATTTGGCAAAAGAGTTTTGTAGAGGTTGAAAGATACCGTGATTTCACCACATGAGACAAGGCAAAGAAGGGAGCTCACAAACTGGAGCTACTGTGGGCAGACAGACTATAGAATGACTCTAGAATGCCCCTGACAGGTAATCTATATCAAAAAAGTAGAATCCCAAATATCCTACTGTCTTCACACACACAAACATGAATCTTGTTTGTATGAAAAAATCACACAAAAATTCCTTACTGAAACAGTGTAATTTTGAAGACCTGAGGATTTGTAATTTTGTTTCACCCAAAGATGAAAAAGCTCCTGTAGCAGTGTGTGTAGCTTGCTCAGGTGGACCTCAGTTAATTACACAAAGTATGGATTCCCACACTAAAAATTTAAGATTTCTTTTTGTCATCATCAGGAATTGAACACAGACTTCAAGACGAGAACATTCCATGGTACCAATGCAGTCCCTGCTGCTTGGGAAACCCATTTGGTAGATCCATCCAGACCTTCTCCTAATGTGCCAGTGCCGCAAATGAGCTGGGGCTTTTTGCACATCCTGCACCTTCACTTTTAAAACCAGAGTTTTAAACACATTAGCTTCATTTAATGCCTGGCTGTTAAGTGAGTCAAAGTAAATTAAAATTGTAAAGTATTTATGATGATGAGAAGTGAAATTTGGAAGGTAACAAAAATAGGACGTGAGCCTTCTGAGAACATTTCCAGGCATTCAGTGTAATGCTGGATAGTCTTGCAGCTCCACTGAAAGTTGTTACTGATGCATATGTGAAACCTTATTCCAAGACACACACTGATGCAGAATGAAAGTGGTGATGAAAAAGAAGGTCAGAAGGATGAGAAACTGCAACTAAAAGCAATTAGAAGCCATGCTTCGATTCAGGCTATTTTCAGATTCAGGGATAAATACAAAAATCTACTGTCTCCTCTTCCAAATATAAGTCCTTCATGGAGCCACACAAACATATGCCTTTGTTTAGATCAGGCCAATATTTTTGTATGAGAAAGTGAAATTTCATCCAGAATTCTTTAATAATGTCAGTGGCATAAAATTTCTTTTCTCTGGTGTATTCAAGTTAAACATTTTCTAATAAAAACAATCACAGAAAGGGTGCCCTTATACTGAACAATTCTTTTGAGTGATTAGCATATGTTAAATAAAGAAGAAAAGGATTAATTTTCAAAATGTGCTTAATTCTAGTGATGATGAAATGGATGAAAAGAATAAGTAAATGTAGATTAGAGAGAGAATCAGAGACTTGGGTAAAAAGTGGAACTGAATGCAGGGAGAGAAATATAGAAGAAAGGTTGTTCATCTTTCACACATGTCATTTACTCAAAAAGAAATTGCATAAAAGACTTTCCAATTAATGTCTCGCTTCAATAAGGGATCCAAACCCTATTTTCTGACAGTGATACATTATGCTGGAGGGAAAAGGAGAAAAGCTTCTTTTCTCCAGGTGCTAGTCATGCCCATGTCCATATGCTGAACTGAATAACCAGAGGAATAGCCTTTGCAAGGGACCAATTCTCTTCAGGGCCATCAGCTTTTCTACTGGGTGCTCCACAGTTGAAACAACTGAGTCTTGCTTTGAAGCATTGCGCCAACATGGACACTTATGTTTCTTCTCTTTTCTCTGATGTCCTCAGCCCTGTGGAAATGTGCTGAGCTAAAACAAGGGGCACCCTGATGATGAAGAAATTATCATGAGCTGCGCGATTGTCAGAAAAAAGTTGAGAGAAAACGCAGTGTCAGCAGATAGAGCCCAGTTCTGACTCATGCTGACAAGAGTTCAACAAGCCTGAATCCCAAACCAGATTCAGAGTAGGAATGAACTTTTGAGTGATGTAAGGAATTTCATAATCATTGCTGGTGGACAGGACTTTTTGTTTTATTTAGGGCATTGGTATAGGAATATACCATGAGGTCATCATGACTTCTATTCCTATGCATTCTGCACATGCTTGTGTCCTAGGGGATTTTTAGTTGCTTGAATAGAGCCTGAAATAAATGTAAATAAATTAAAGTGTGGCATGAGGAGAAAAATATCGCAGAAAAACAATAAGAACAAATATAAGTCCATACAATGTGTTCTACCCTACAAAACCTCACTGGGAATAATATAAACACCAAGATGACAAGTGGAGTTGCTGAGACATTACTTGAGTTGGAGCTGTCTCTCAAAGGCAGGAGGGAGAGTACTGATATTCATTGCTGCCTGTGGAAAGGGCTTCTCAGCAGAAGACCATAATGTTTCTTTATTCTCATTTAACTCAAAGCAATAAAAAAATCCCAGCTGTATAACACAATATAAGGGGACAGTGAGAGACAAAACCAGTTTTTTAACAAGATGTAGCTCTTGCCAATGCTCCAAGCTCTTAGAGGGAACTCTGCTCTGAAGCAGCCTCTATGGATGAGTCTGGGCTTGGAAGGAGGGAGAAGAGCTGTCACTGCAGAGCAGCTCTCAAACCCTGATCCCTGGGGCAAGCTGCTGGTGGTTGGGAAGAGTTGCCTGGTAACAAGGAGCTGCTGCCTTCTCATTTCCAGCTGTTAAACTGCATTGGAAGGAGCTGAATAATACCAGAATAGAAACCTAGCTTATAATTTGTGGTTTAATGCAATGGAATAGGAGTAATGTTATGGCATCTCTAAATTGTTTAGGACACGAGTCTTTGCAGTAGCGTTCTAGTAGGTCCATGTTGCAAAATGGAAACAAGTTTCTGTAACCTTTTGTTGATCAGCTTCTTGTTCCAACAGGATTTGTCAGTGGAGTGCTGGTGGTGTAACATCTGGTGTGTGTAAAGAATGGGGAAAAGGTAATGGGGATTTTAACAGAGCAGCACAAGAAACAGACATAACCAAGAAAAAAAAAATTCATTTTCTGGAAAGTGTATGCAAATATATGTATTAAAATATCAACATTTATATTTCATAATTGAATGAAAAATGCAAAATCTGATGTGCTGATTTCTCCATCCAAATGGAAATGTGTACATTTACCTACTGGTGGTAATAATAACAATAATAATAATAATAGCAAGGGTCTGAGTTTAATTCTAAAACAGGTGTTCAGCTTTCTTTTCTGGAAGAGAAATTCTAGCTGTGCAGTTTGAGAGGGACTGAGACTTGAATGAGGCTTGTTGACATCTCTGTGGGAGACAAAGAAAAATGGAAGGATCAGGCCAGAGCAGAAGGTTATCCCACTGTAAGACTGTCATCACTGAGGGAAGGCGTTTCAGCATATGTTGATGGGCAACCTGTACTGACTGCCATGAAGTTTCCATCTTCAAAAGCTGGAGGAAAGAAGAATGCCTGCAAAAACCCAAAGCAGCATAAAAAAAGGGGGTGGGTGGGGGGGTGTGAACCATCCTCTGAAGTCCTGGGAACAAAAGGTGACATTGATGTGGGCTTTGGCAGGGAAGGCAGTCATGGGGTCTGCTTAAATTCTTTTGAAGGGTTGTAAGCAACAGAACGAAAATATCTGCTTTGGTTTAAACTCAAATAATCATAGTTCAGTGCGCTGTTTTGGCTGGGGTAGAGTTAATTTTCTTTGTAGTTGCCAGTATGGGGCTATGGCTAAAACAGTGTTGATAACTCGGGACGTTTTAGCCGCTGCTGAGCAGGACTGGCACAGCACCAAAGCCTTTTGTGCCTCCCACCTCACCCACCAGTGAGGGGCTGGGGGTGCACCAGGAGTTGGGAGGGGACGCAGCTGGGACAGCTGACCCCAAGTGAGCAGAGGGAATATCCCACACTATATGGTGTCATGACCAGTAGGTAAAGCTGGGGGAAGGGAAAGGAAGTCACCATTACATGTGATGTTGCTCAGCTCTGCTGGGCTGACTGGATACCTGCCTGCCCATGGGGAGTGGTGAATGAATTTCTTGTTCGGCTTTGCTGGCCTGTGTGGCTTTTTGCTTTCCCTGTTAAACAGTCTTAGTCTCAACCCATGAGCTTCTCACTTTCACCCTTCTGGTTGTCTCCCCCATCCCACTGGGGAAGAGTGAGTGAGCAGCTGTGTGGTGCTGAAGTTCAAGCACGACGTTCAGAAATGTGTTATTTTAACCAGGAAAATTAGGGAGGGAGAGGGATATCTAGGGGAAGTATGACTTCCCTTTTCCACTACAGATTGCTTTGAAAGATATGGTAATGTCACAATACATTGCTAGTGAGAGCTGGATTTGAGCCTGTGTTGTGCTAATTTTATCAAATACCAAAGCCTTCAAACATTAGTACTTAAAAAGGGTAAGACATAAGCCAAGAAAATATATTTGATTAGTGTGCAATCTGATCTTCAGGTAAATGTAACAATGTTCTTTTCTCTACAATAAATCTTTTGTGCTTTAGGAAGAGAGTGATAGCATGAAAACAAAAAACAGGAGGCACACAAAAATAAAACCAGTCTGTACCCCCATCCATAGATGCATACAAATATGAACATATATGTATCTCCATATCCATGCATGTGTTGCCATTTCCCAGCATCCTACAAACACAATCAGTTGAGCTTCTTACAACAGTCCTCTGAAACAGGAAGGTACTATTCCTGTTTACAGATTAGAAAGCAGAAGTCTTGAGAAAGTTCAAAGGTAAAACCCAGGAAGAGCTGGAATTGACTTTCATTTTTTAAAGCCCAAGGTGGGGGTTTATGTCCAAGATTTATGATACCATCTTTTCTTTTTGTTGTTTGACTTGATTTCAGAATTTCTATGGCAAAGAGCGAAAAATCATGGAATAGAGTAGTATTCAAATAAAATGAGAAAATTATTGTTTCCCTTTAAGTTGAGTGAGTGAAAATTTTTCCTTCATCTTAGCTTGCATCAGAGCAGTAATTTGAAAATGAAGTGCTGATTCTTCAAAAAGAATTTAGTTTTGCTATCATTGATGCCAGCTGGGTCTGCAAGCTCTACCACAGGAAGAGATGAATAAGTGGCTGAGAAAACCTGAATGAATTACACTCAGACCACAAGAATTAAAGCCCTTCTTGGATCTTAAGGGCTGGAACCAGAAAAACAATGGTCCAAAAGACCCAGTCCAGCACCATTACATTTTGGTGTGGGCAGTCCAGTGCATAATAAAAACTCAGCAGCACCTTGCTTTAATGGAATAAATGGGGCAAAGCAGGTCTGGAAGGGCAGCAACCCCTTTTGCAGACTGGTATAAGGGGGAAATAAATCTAAATAAATCTACCCCCTCTGTAGGACACAGGCTGGGGCTTTCTTCAGCCTGTGGTGCCAACTCCTTGTACCTGAGGAGTGCACCCTCATTTCTTATGGACAATGTTGTGAAGCAAAGGAGATGATGGTATGTGAGATGAGAGGAGATGAGGGACCTGTGATACTGTGGTGCATGGAAAGGACCCTCAGGAGGGAATATGGTGTCTCCTACATTAGCCTCCTTCAGAATTTTAATGATTTTTTATACATTATACCATATACAATACAGAATGACTGTATATTTTAAGCAAGACCCATCCTAACACTGGATACTGGTCTCTTCTGCATATTCTTCTCTAGATTTACTCAGAAATTACTTGTATTGACTGTCTTCAAAGAAACCCAGTCACCAAGTTGTTGCTTTGTACGTAATCACTTTGCCTTCATCTATGGTTTGGCACCAGCTGCACTAGGAAAAGGCACATAATTACAGTTTTTTTCTAAGTTATTTGACCAGAAGTTCAAATTCCAAGTCCCAGAAAATACACATTGGTTATAAGTAAGAAAAAAAAAAAAAAAAAAAAGAAAAAAAAAATCAAGTATTCTGTTAAGAAAATGGTGTTAAGCAAAACACTCCTAAGTCAAACCTATTGCAAGAAAACCAGCTTTATATCTGGAAAAAAAAATGGACAGGAACTTAAGTTGTTATCTGGCTATAAAATTAAGTTCAACTGTTTTCTTATTAGAGCTTATCAGTTCTTATTTTTATTATGTGCATTGTTTATATATTGTGCTCTAGAAATATTTTATTGCATAAATGTCTGACTTAAGGGAAGGAGGAAAGGGTGGGAAAAATCCCCAACAAATAATCCAGCATATTTAAAGCTTCACTCTGTACATATGCTGCAAGGAAGATTCCAACAGTGTGGTTTACTATATGCCAGGTGTATTTGCTGCTTGGAAACAAAGCTCAGCTTTCCACAGCACTTGGCTGTCTGTTGGAAGTAGAAATCTTCAATATGTCCATCACTCGTGCAGACACCAGCTCTTTGGGCAAGTGTAGTAAACGCACAGGAATCCATGTTTTGGGGGTGAAGCCCACTAAATCTCCCATGCAGTGTCCTGAATCAGTAGACTCATCGTGTGGGGGCTGAATGAGTTACGTACCATGAGCAGAGGAGCTGCCCTTGCTGTGCAGTGGTGGGGCTTGCAGCAAGAGCAGCCAGTGCTTTTCAAGGCACTTGGTGGGACATGAAGGGGAAAGATGCTGTACCTGCTGCACTGCTGCTGTCTTGCATCTTCCATGGGCAGGACCACACTCTAACCTTCAGGTAGAAAAGGGCACATGAGGCCAAAACTTTGTGTTGGGTGCCAAACAAAAAGGTAAAACTTTTGGCACTGGTGTGACTCCTGCACATGTGTTAACCCATAATGCAGGAGCTCATGTGTGGCCCCATGTGGATACGTCCCACATACCTGTATAGCCTCTGCACACGGTGAAGGTGATTGTCCTATGCAGTGTTCAGGTGTCTCAATGCAAAGCTGTGGCTGCATCCTGGGCGCCATGCAAGGATTGATCCCAGAACCTCCCCAGGCACCAGCACACACTTACCTGGGGGGTAGAGGCGTAGAACCTCCAGCAGACCTCTCTGTGTGCCCAGATATCTCCAGATTGACCCTGTTGCTTGGAACCCATTGATGGGAGCCAGAGAGGAGCTGCAGCGCAAGCTGTTCCCATGTGCTGATCCCTGGACCCCGATTCTGTCTCCCCCTCTCTTGCTGCAATGTTCCTGTACCACTCCCTGTGGGTAAATGGAGGGGCTCCTCTGATGCTCACCCAGCTCCTCCTGCTGTGCCTGGGAATGCTGTCTCCACCCCAAAAGGGCTCCTTCCAAGTGCACAAGTGCACTGCCTTCTTCCTTCCCTGTGTTCAGCTTTTAGTATGCATCCCTGTAGCATTGTGCAGCTTCCATGAGGGCTGATAAGCAGATTGTTTTCTTTTCTGTAAAGGCAGAAAAACAATGCAAATGACATTCACTGTGGGTTTTGGTGTGTGTGGCTTGATGCTTATCAACTCATTTATACTGCAGGAAAATGAATGGCAGGATTGTTCTCCTAGTCTTACATGGGTTTAACAATAAAAACCATGAAACTCTGTGTTACAATAAACTGTAACTGGGGTCTTCACAGTTGCAGAAGTAAAGTGGGTTCTCTGGCCAAATTAAAGAAAGTAGAGAATTGCCAAGGGAAACATTTTTGTCCAGTTTAGTTTATCTGATGTTACCAGCATGCAGTTATACATTATCATAGAGAGTTATTTCCTCTGTTAAACACAGAAGCAAGAGTATGGATGGATAAACAATGTAGCAAATAAACACCAAGTGTTTAATCATTTTAGCTTACCATGGCGGGAAGTGGGGGTGGAAGGGGAAGGAGATAAAATTAAGCATTCCTCAAAGAGCCCAGCTACTGCTTTCTGTGTTTGAATTGTCTCCATCAGAGAAGGAAGCCTGAAGCACAGAGCAAGTGGCTGTCCAGCAGCCAAAAGCTCTCTCCGAGCCCCAGTCTGTTGCAAAAGAGGAGCCCTCTGAGTAAGGTCGTGGGGTGTGACTCAGGGTGACCCAGATCTCATGGCCTGGGAAATGCACAGCAGGAATCAAACATCTTGCCTGCTTTTAGATGTCTCTGGGACAAATGTTTGTGTCTGATCCGCTCACTCCAGGCTTTCCTCATGACAAGCAGAAGGACAAGGGCATGGTTCATTTGACACTTATTTCAGGGGTCTTGTTTGGGATTAAATGAATACACCCTGAATACATTATACATTGGTTAAAAAGCGACTATTCCATAGTAGATGTCTGTGTTATTAATATCAATA